AGAATGGATTAACCTTATTTACATTGAACCTTATGGGAAAATTTGATTCGGTTGATGACCAGTTCAGTTGGTGACCATGTTCGTAGAGGTCAGAACAGATTAACCTTATTTACATTGAACCTTATGGGGAAATTTGATTCGGTTCGCGACCAGTTCAGTTGATGACCACATTCATAGAGGTCAGAACAGATTAACCTTATTTACATTGAACCTTATGGGGAAATTTGATTCGGTTCGCGACCAGTTCAGTTGATGACCACATTCATAGAGGTCAGAACAGATTAACCTTATTTACATTGAACCTTATGGGGAAATTTGATTCGGTTCGCGACCAGTTCAGTTGATGACCACATTCATAGAGGTCAGAACAGATTAACCTTATTTACATTGAACCTTATGGGGAAATTTGATTCGGTTCGCGACCAGTTCAGTTGATGACCACATTCATAGAGGTCAGAACAGATTAACCTTATTTACATTGAACCTTATGGGGAAATTTGATTCGGTTCGCGACCAGTTCAGTTGATGACCACATTCATAGAGGTCAGAACAGATTAACCTTATTTACATTGAACCTTATGGGGAAATTTGATTCGGTTCGCGACCATTTCGACTCGCGACCAGAATCGTGGAACGAATTAAGTTCGTGAACCGAGGTACCACTGTACACCATCCAGTAATGTCCATGTATATAGATTGTTTTGGTTGTTTGAAGATGTGTTAGTAATAAAAAGCCAATGATGCAGATGATTTTGATTTGCTTGGGAAACCCTTACCAAACTAGCGTGAGTTGCCTAGCGATCTGTGTGTGATCTTTTCCCCCCTTCTCTCTTTAGAGGTTCTCCTCTTCTTTCTCCTCTCCCTCAAACGTCTCCAACTGAACTGAAATTGCAGAAAGAAATGGATACTGCCATATCAGTCCAGGATCCCCACATCCAACCTAGGTTAGAGTGGAGGCCACAACCTGGGATGAAAATAGAAGGGGAGGAGTCAGGAGCGAGACCGAAGGCTGCAGAATCCCACCATGTTGCCCAAGTAGTGATCAAATCACCGAATCTAAAACGATCACCAACACAGCATCTCAAAGAGGAAGATGAGGAGGGGATGTTTTCACAGCACTGGGAAGGGCAGTGGCAAGAATTTTTGAAGACAGTCCAGTTTTCCAACTCAGAACAAGCGGGCTCTCTGTTTCTGCTTCATCCTGAGACCAAGTCCCAAGCTGCTGCCTTTGAGAGGGCAGCCAACTCAGCAGTGAAGGAGGAAGGAATGTCCACATGCTGGTCAACATTGAAAGGACAAGCAAATAGCCAGCAAGATGTCACAGACAGGACAAATGCTTGTCCTATGGAGGAGATCAAACCTGATGAGGACGATGCTCTGGAGACTCAGCGCCAGAACTTCCGTCAATTTTTCTACCCAGAAGGTGAAGGGCCCCAAGTTGCCTACAGACAGCTCCGAGCTCTGTGCCACCGGTGGCTGAAGCCAGAGAGACACACCAAGGAGCAGATCCTGGAGCTGGTGATCCTGGAGCAGTTCCTGGCCATCTTGCCTGGAGAAGTCCAAAGATGGGTCAAAGAACTTGAGCCTAGGAGCTGCCCTCAGGCTGTGGCTCTGACAGAGGATTTCTTTCAGAGGCGAAAAGGAGCAGACAGGCAGGAGCAGCAGGTAACAATTTCACCTCTTCCTACCCTTAAACCATCTAACATTCATGATAGAACTTACACATCTCTTCAGATCCTCTTCAGTTAAAGCCTCCAGCTAGAGTGTCCACTGAGTTGCTTCACCTTTATTATCACCATCATTGGCTTTTTGCAATCCCATTCATTCCCTTTAAACTAGGTTTTCCCAAACACGTGCCCTTCAAATCTAGCAAAAGTAATAATGCCCTCAAGCTGAATTCAGCCTGTTGTAGAGAGTCAGGAAGATGATCTTGATGGAGATACACAGGAACTGTTCCCTAGGCAAAAGGGGCTAAAGCAGTTTTAAAGTCCAGAACAAGATAACATTTAGAAGCGGCTCAGTCAGATGCCTCCGTGATTCACTGGAACAGTGTTTCTCAACCTTGGCAACTTTAAGAGGTGTGGACTTCAATTCCCAGAATTCCCCAGCCAGCCATGCTGGCTGGGGAATTCTGGGAGTTGAAGTCCATGCCTCTTAAAGTTGTCAAGGTTGAGAAACACTGCACTGGAGTATGAGATATCAGCCAGTTAATAATGATATTAACTGTTAATAATATTAACAGTTAATAAGTATAGACCAGTTTGTTCTAGTGGTGAAGGCTCCAGGCTAGAAACCAGTAGACGGTGAGTTCTAGTTCCGTCTGAGCCGTGGAAGCCAGCTGGGTGACTTTGGGCCAGTCCCCCTCTCTCAGCCCAACCCACCTCGCAGGGTTGTTGTTGTGGGGAAAATAGGAGGAGGAGGAAGTATTAGGGATGTTTGTGGCCTTGAGTTATTTATAAAAAATAAGAAAGCCGGGATAAAAAAAATCTAAACAAGAAAAGAGGGGGAGGAGGTACAGCCCAATCAGATTTATTATAGCCAGTCTCAGTCAAAGTAGTTATAGCCTTCCTGTAGAGTTGATTTCCTTGTCTGGTCTACCCAGAAACACTGGTTATGCTGACCAGAAATAGAGGACAGGTGGTCAATCAAATGACTTTTTGCTTGCAGGCAAAAATCTTTCCTGTAGCCTAAGCTCTCTTGACAATTCATCTGCCTTGATTTGAAATTAAATGTTCTTGTTTTCCGCTGCAGAGCTGGCCGCATCAGGACGGTGCTGGAGATTTCCCTGCTAAAGATGGAGCTTCTCTGGAAACCAGAGGGATGACCCCTAGTCCTGGAGTCAAGACAGAAGGTGAGGAATCGTTGCATTTTGTCTGCATGGCACTTAAAAAGTAGAGGGAAGAGATGTGGTAGGGCATTCTGCTTCATGCACCTTTGCAGAAGAATATCTGTCTAATATACCTATAGCAGTGTTTCTCAACCTTGACAACTTTAAGATGTGTCCACCTGGCAGGGTGGGAGGGTGAGATTAAAACCTGAGTCTCCCTATTCCTAGTCCAACCCCTTCCGCACTGCCCACCCTGGTGCTGGGCCTGAGAGGGGGAACTGGCCCAGGGTCCCCCAGGGAGCTTCTGTGGCTGAACAGGGACCAGAACCTGGGTCTCCCCACTCCTAATCTATCCCTCTCATCACTATACTATTCATTGCAATTGTCCAGTTTCTTCTTCCCAATCCATAATGTCTCGCTCCATGTGTAGAAGGCCGTGGGAAATCAGGGCCATGTCGGTAGCCTTTTCTGATTTTCTCCTTCATTCCAGCAGATGATGAGTGGCGGGGAGAAAAGGAAAGAGGGCTGTCAGGTTTATCCTCAGAAGAAGGAAGCCTTAAAAATCCTGACAAATCAGAGTGGATGGAAGAGAATTCACTGGAAGGAAGCAAGAACAAGGCCGTTTCTGTTTCTCAAAGGCTCAAGGCAGCTGAAATTGTGACCCAAGCAATTATACCCAAAGAAAATGGAGGAATGAAGTATACGGCATGTGGGAAAATCTTCTTGAATGAGGCAGACCTTAACAGACATCAGATAACCCATACAAGAGACAAACCTTATGAATGCTCAGATTGTGGGAAAAGCTTCCACTGGAGGTCGATCCTGAATGCCCACAGGAGAAAACATACAGGAGAGAAACCATTTCAGTGTGCTGAGTGTGGGAAAAGTTTCAGCCATAGTTCCTACCTTCTGGGTCATAAGAGGACTCACACGGGAGAGAAACCCTATGAATGCTTGGAGTGTGGGAAAAGTTTCCGTCTGAGCTCACATCTGATCAATCACAAGAAAATCCACACTGGACAGAAACCATTTAAATGCCTGGACTGTGGGAAACATTTCCGACGGAGCTCACACTTGAATTGCCACAAACGACTGCACACGGGGGACAAACCTTATCAGTGCCTTGACTGTGGAAAACGTTTCTGTCGGAGCTCCAACCTTAATAGTCATAAGAGAATCCACACAGGAGAGAAACCATTTGAATGTTCCATCTGTGGAAAGTGCTTCTGCCAAAGCTCACAGCTCCATCAGCATCAGGCTACCCACACTGGCGAGAAGTCGCATAAGTGTTCAGATTGTGGCAGAAGCTTCAGTCAACTGTCCTATCTTCACAGCCACAAGAGAATGCACACCACTGAGAAGTCATTTCCGTGCTTGGAGTGTGGGAAAAGCTTCCACTGGTTGTCACAGCTGAACAACCACAAGAGCGCGCACACAGGAGAAAAACCGTATGGGTGCTCGGACTGTGGGAAGAGTTTCAGTTGGCGGTCGCAGCTTAGCATCCACCAGAAGATACACATGGAAGAGAAGCCATACGAATGCGCAGACTGCGGGAAAACGTTCCACTGCAAATCATACCTTCATGACCATCAAAGAAACCACACTGGGGAGAGACCCTATGAATGCATGGAGTGTGGAAAAAGCTTCCACTGGAGATCTAACCTTCACGATCACAAGAAAATCCACACGGGGGAGAAACCCTATGAATGCTCAGACTGTGGGAAAAGCTTCCGTCAGAGTTCACACCTTCATGCACATAGGAGAATCCACACAGAAACGAAACATAAATAAGTTATTCACCATTGCAGATTGCATCTTAACATTCATTCCAATTCATATAGGACAGCTTCCAGTGGATAGCATACTTTATAAGAAAAGTTGGATAGTATACTTCATGAAAAAGGACAGATTTATGGAGCCCTAAGTATGATGCTTTATTAATATTGCATTTTTAGATTTCTAAAAAGCTTCTATAGAAGTACCAAAACCATTAAATCCACAGATTTTCTGCATCATTATATCTGAGTCGAATCATTCAACTCAATCATTTCAGTCATGCTTAGGATTAAGCTGTAGGTGAACTGTACAAATATTCATCATGATGTTTACTTTCCCCTGATTTTAAATATTAGATGTGTTTTAACAGATGTGTTGTTTTAACTTTAATAAAATTATTATTTAAACAGGTTACATTGGGGTAGTGGGCTTTATTTTAGAAAAAGTCCCCAATTCAGGCCCTAGAAAGGAGAAAAATGCTCCAAAGAGATTAGACAGGAGCACTGATGCTCTGTAAGGAAACTGCATTTATGGACTACATTTTTATGTTACCCTTAGCCCTTAGAAAGCGTTAGAATTGGAAACAACCTTGAAGAACATTGCATCCAATCCTGTGCTTGCCATAGGAATCCTCCAGTGTGTGAGCCTGCAAAACATTTGGAAAAACTGGAAAATGTACTTTTGGCAGAAATTTCAAAGGAGAGGCATAAAGGCTTCAGACTGATGATTGTGATGGAATGTGACAATGTGGAGCTGTTGCAAGAAAGAGATCTCAGTCCTGGGAAAGTGGAAAAAACAACTCTGCCTTGATTTGGTAGGTATCAGTTGAAGGAGAGAGGGTTGTCAGGCATTGTCAGGCTTTTAAAATTTTGTCACATCAATCTTGGAAGCCTGCCAAACCCTCTCTGTACTTCAACTTATACCAAACTCAGACAAAATGGAATTTTGTAACACTCTATGAGAATGTCCTTGAGGGACAGGAGGAGGAGGAAGAGGAGCAGCAGTCTAGGCAAGGGTCAGATAAGAGGCAGTTGAGCCCGTAGAAGGAATGGGGACATGGCAAATGACTCAGAAGGGATCCTCCCTAGTTTCTTGGGCTATAAAGGCGAGGGGGGAGAGATGTACTTTCAGACTTGCAAGATGCTGTTACTGTAACCTTACAAAAAAGTTAGAGCTAGTACTTCTGGGTGTGCTTCTTGTCTGGACTACCTTGCAAGGCTGACAAATTGTTTTGAATTTCGTTCTCACACTTTCTACATTCCCAGGACTGAGTTATCTTTTTCCTAACAGCTCCACATTCTCTTGACTTTCCATCATAACAGATGGAATTTGTTCCTGGGGCATCTCCCCAAATTCGATGACCCCAGGGGCAGATCCTTCTTCTGTCCAGGCCCATCCTCCTGGCTATTTGTTCTTCATTCTGCGAAAGGTAGTTCTTTTCCCCACAGAAGGGAAGGCCATAGTGTTCCTCTCTGTGTGAGGAATAAGGCTCTTACTATGGATTATTTATGCCCACCTCTTGAGGGTCCCTCACCTCTGTTGTAAAGAATAAGCAAAAATGGAGAGTGCTTAGAAGTGATAGAGCAGCCCGTCTGCCCAGAGACAAAACCATCCCGTTGCAAAAAGGGCTGCCGGTTAGTTGGTTTTAGAAAGCCTGCAAGAATGTGCACAGAACGATTGCAGATCCTTGGATCTCCCTCCAAGGAATCTGAAGAGGAGAAAGAAGGGTAAAATATCACTTTGTCCAACACCCTGGCAATTCCACAGACCTGTGGTCTCCATCTAAAAGACATGGGGATTGGGAGAGAAGAGGAAAAACAGAAGGCAGAAAGAAGACTAGATATTGGGGGGATCTGTTGTAAGTCGCCAGAGATTCCCAGTCGTTTGAAGAATGACAGCATGTAACACCACTACTTTGTGAGCTGCATGGGTTGCTGGTAGACTTCCGGGTGCAATTCAAGGTGCTGGTTGTCACCTTTAAAGTCCTTCAGGGCGTGGGACTGGGTTACTTATGGGACCATCTCTCCTTGGTTGTTTCTACCTGCCTGATCTGGTCCAGCCAGATGGGCACGCTTCGGGTCCCATCAGTCAAGGAATGCCCTTTGGTGGGCCCCAAAGACATGTTTTTTCTGCCGTAGCACCCGCCCTAAGGGATGTTCTCCCTCCAGAGATCGGGAGGGCCCCAACCCTGCTGGCCTTTGGCAAGGCCCTAAGACCCAGTTCTGTGCCCAGAATGGGGCCCCAAGTGTGCGCAGGGACCAATTTCTTAGTGGTACAAGGATTTGGTTTATGATGTTTCTCAGCTGCTTTGTATTTTAATTTTTGTAATGCTTACAATGTAATTGGTTTTATTTTTTATTCTAATATTCTTCGCCACTTAGAGTCACAGGTTGAGACGGGCAGCTACAGAAATTGATTGGTTAATTAATTAATTAATTAATTAAGTGGGGGTTTCCCCACACCCTTAAAATCATAGAATGGTAGAGTTGGAAGGGATCCCAAAGATCATCAAGTCCAACCCTCTGTGATGCACAGGGAAACCAGTGAAACCATCCACAAGTAATGGCTATCCAGCCTCTTCTTAAAAACCTGCAGACCTTTTAGTGTGGCTGCTAAGGCAGAGAGAAGCTTTTTGAGGCAAGGGAGCAAGGACTAGAAATGGATTTGCTCCGTTCCATCTTGATTTGGATAACAAATTGCTAGAGTAAGCATATGATTAGAGCAGTGTTTCTCAACCTTGGCCGCTTTAAGATGTGTGGACTTCAACTCCCAGAATTCCCCAA